ACGGTTGTACTCCTACTTCTCAGTTAAAGCGTGTCATCCATGTGCAGGGGCCATGCTAATCTTCTCCTTCCAATGTTAATGAATGTCCCAAGGGCCATCTAGATGTGTATAAGAGACAGGACCAGCCACAACCCGAGAGATAGAACAGGGCCTAGTGACAGAGAGAGAGAGAGAGAGAGAGAGAGAGAGAGAGAGAGAGAGAGAGAGAGAGAGAGAGAGAGAGAGAGAGTTGAGACTTGGTTACTATTTGGGCTTTGCCCAGAATTGGATATTGTATTTGGACAGAGACTTCTGGGACTATTGTGGAGACTATTCTTTCAGCAGGACTAACGAGTCGCAGTCTCCGTTTCTCCTCCCCTCTTTGTCCCTTTCCTCAATCATTCTTCGTCTGTGGATGTCCAGTCTGTGAGAGGCATGGTGATACACTTCTGTGTATGCATCACCATGCCCATTTCATGCATATGCTGGTTGTATGCATTTTGTCCTGAGTCCTGATGAGTCAGATCTGTGTTTCGGTCTTCCGCTGCATGTCATTGTTTTTTTCCTCCATCACGTACCCTTGGGTCCTGCGCCATGCCTATCGGTTATTTAAAGGCATGCCACACCCTATCTAGCGCTGGTGCCTGCAACTTCTGTCTGGTATGACCATGGGAAGGTGAAGTTCTCCCATTGATGGGGAACCAAGGGGATACGATGCAGAATGCTAAGGAATAATGTCGAGTTAGGAAGGGGAGGGGGGGGGGGCTCTGTGAGCAGCTTTGAAACAAAAAGATGGAAAAAGAAGGAAATGGTGTGTGTTCACGGCCAAACTAAAAGACCCAGTGCTCCACAGTAACTAAGCCATCTCTTGTGCTGAAGCACGTTCTCTCATTGGTACCAGTGTGATGAACTTCGAGAAGGGGTCAATGCTCACGAATCTGTCAGAACCCCATACAGATGTACTCTTCCAGATCAAGCAGGAGTACAGTCAAGGGCTTCCAAAAAATATAGGGGGTTCCTTGAGTTCTCCCCTTGGTTCGTTGACAAACCACACGACTGTATGTGTATTCCAACACATTACACATGCTCATTGGAAGTCAGTTAAAGCGCTTCAGCACTTGCATATGGGTCTTCTGGTGGCCTTGTACATCATGGTACTCACCACGCACCTCAGTTCTTAATTTTTGTCATGAAGTTACACACAATCTTCACATCCCTTAGCTTCGGGCAAACAGCAACCGACATTCCGAGACGTAATCTGGTGCTCCATGCGGGTCGTGCTTGAGGCCTGCAATGATCTGGGAGAATGTACAGGATCAACAGCATGTGTTGCTGCAAACCTGTCATGGAGCTTGTCGCTCACTCTCAGTGTTGGCAACTTAGCTACGACGTAGTCCTGCCGTTGTGATAACGTATTTGCAACCTTCTTGTATCATCCCTTCGTATGGTTCAAGGTGAAGTTGGTGTTGATGTATGCAGACCATCAGGGAAGCTTTCCTCTGAAAGTCTTGGTCGAGTCTTGAGTGACTTCAGTGTTTGGCGGTCTGAGTAAGCCTTGAAGTCATCCCTGGCACCGTTTGCTCAGGGGGTGGTACAGCACATACAGCTTGTTCAACTGTCTCTCGCATGCGCTGGGTGGCATGGGTGCTGCTCTCTTTGAAGGCATGCCGTTTGATACGGTAGTCCGACAGCCCCAAACCATGTTTGTTCTTCTGCCATAAAACTATACCAATCTCGTATTCGCTGGATTCTGTAATCAAGACAAAAGGTACTGTCCGGAACATCCCAAAATGATACCTGATGAGCTGTTCCGTGAGAGTCTCAAAGGATGTCTCACATTCAAATAGGACACCTGATGAGCTGGTCAGTGAGAGTTTGGAAGGATGCCTCACATTTGTCTGTCGACACAAATTGAGCATCGGCTTCTCTGACAGGTGGTTCTGGGGTACGAGTCCGTACGACAAGCATGGCCTGACCTCCAGTAAACTTCTTATATTGTTTGCCATAGCAAGGAATGATTGGACCTCCACTGGCCTTTGTCCTGGCAAATCTATGATTGCTTCCACCTTCTTTGCCTTTGGTCTCATGCCAGACCATCCATGCCATACTCCAAATACAAGACGTGTTGGTTCCCAAACTCACTCTTCTTCACAATGATCTTGTCTTTGTTTTATCTTGGCAAATACAACACCTTCCTTAGGTGCTAATGTACTCATAGGTACGACCGGACAAGCTATCGGTACCTTTATTTATGTTAAGTCCTAGGTACCCAGTACTACTCACCACATTGTTGCAGTGGTGTGCTGCCCCCTATCCCTATACCACACATTCGTGACTGCCGGTTGCAAACATCTGCTGTTGTCAACACATTATGAAGTCGATGATTTTCACCAAGCATATCATCTAAGTAGGCCCACCTGGACAACGTGATCCAATAGTCTCTGCGCAAGTAAGGCCCGAATGGCCTGCTGAAACGTCACAGGTGCCTTGGTGAACCCGTCATAGCTCGTTTACAATTCCATATCATGCTGGTCTGTGGCTCCTCCTTGATCTAATGATAACTAATGTTGGAGACAAGCTTGTAGCCTTGCACCCTGGCCAGTGAGTTGTCAATCCCAGTCTCCCGGGTTTTCTTTGATCTGACGATAACTGCTTTTCAGGTCAGTCGTGGAGAAGTGCTGGCAGCGTTGCAGCATGTCCAGTAGTTTGTCAATCCGAGGCCCATATTCTTGATAGTGATGTTACCGAAACCCGCATTAGTACATGCACATGTGTGCTCCTCCATCCTTTTTGGGACGAAGAGTATGGAGGGCCCATAAGGTGAGGAGTTGGGCCTGATCCTACCTTTCCCAGTCAACTCATGCAACTGCTTATCGAGTTCCTCGGGGGGTGCGAGACATGTCATACACATTACCCTTGGCCCTTGGGCGTCGTGACACCTGGGACCAAGTGGATAAGATGCTCAGCTCCTGTCCTCACGATCCCTATGGGCTCCATTGTCTCAAACTTCTGAGTCAAAAGTTGAGTTTTGCATCAAGAATGTGGCAGGATCATAACATGGCCTCTTGCCTCTTGCCACTGAATTTAGCATGTCATATTCTTGCCTGCTTTAGCACGTCATATTCTTGCCTGCTTTGTACTGACATAGCACGGATGTGGCATGCTGGTGTGGCACCCGATACTGGCCCTGTGTATGATATAACCCCAATCATAGTCTGATATCAAAGATCCTCGCATGCTCTAAGACCAGATGTAAGAATTATGCTTGAACTGTTCGTTTTCCATGCCAAACACTCTTGGCTGAAACACTCTTACGTGCTTAATTGGTACTCAGACAAAGAGTTTCTCTTTCAAATACAAGTCTGAAATCATGATGAAATTGCACAAAAATCATGTCCACCTAGGCGCCCAGTCAGCCCACATCAAGATTCAACAGACAGCCAACAAAGAGTGCAGTATTTGTGAAGTCTTTTGCAACTATGGCTGCGCTCCTTTTGCTTTCATCAATGACGTGTGACACAGTTCCCCCTCTTGTGTAGAACCAACTATAGCAACCGGAGTGAATTCTGTGCCTTTCTACCTGGTTCTTGTCAAAAGGGAGCTGGAAATCGAGGCCCATACTGCTACCTATAGCTACAACTGCATGGTAAACCTATTCAGCTGATAAGATGCTTGGCTGGGTTCACAAATATGAGCACACTAAGAGACTTGAAGACCTTGGGGCAGGTTGGGGAATGAAACCCATGTGGGCCTACACTGTCTATTTTCTTTTCATACAGAAAAAACTTCCTGTGTCTATTGACTCTATTCACCTTTTGCTGGTAGAGAAGCTCCACCACTACTCCCCCGTATCCTCTGTACTCTTATGTTCTCCTAATGCTTGCCTTCATTCTGCCTTGGTCCTTGTCATAACCGGTGTTCTTCTAGGAGTCTTTTGCTGAGTATAGCTCCAGTCCTTCCTGTCCTGTTGCCTTGCACTGTGCCTGTTTCTTGTCCTCTCTTTTTATGTCAGTTTCTTTGTCCCACCGTCGTCAACCGAATAGAACGTCTGGTCAATATTGCTGTCTGTATCCAGAGTGAAAGTTGGCCCAAATACAGCAATAAGGACCAGGTGCTATATTTGGGTGAAGACCGGTAGTCTGCTTCCGAATATCTTTCCCAATGCTGCCTTCCAGTAACCAGCTCTTTGCCCATTCAGCGCTAAGCTTCTCCCCCATCACTAGACGAACGTAATGATTTCTAAGATAAGTTGGAATGTGCATCAGAGGTCCACTTCGATAATCACTTCTGCATCCGCATATGCAGACCTTTTTTTGGACATTTCCTTGATCTTTCCTAAGTTTCCTTCCGTTCTATCGATAAAGTGCACTCACTGTCTCCCCCCCTCCTCCCCCTTTTCCTTGATTGCATGCATGAGTTCATGAGCAAACAAATGCTACAATGCCCTGAAATGAATGGGCGGAAGGATGGATGGTTAGGTGGGTACATGGGTTGGTGGAGAGAGGGAGAGTTGGGCGGTTGGACTCCAGTGAATGGATGGGGGGATGGATAGGTTCAAGATTTCACCTGACTGTCGTGAAGTGGACAGTAAGCCACGGCTGAATTCGTGCTCGATGTCAATACCGAGCCCGGGACTTGAGAATCCACGGGCCTCTAGATTGCCTGAGGAGGTACTCACGCAAGGACCGGGTAGATGGGTTGGTGGAGAGAGGGAGAGATGGGCAGTTGGACTCCACGGTCACTCCGGTGAATGGATGGGGGGATGGATAGGTTCAAGATTTCACCTGATTGTCGCGAAGTGGAATGTTTGTGAACATTCGCGTATTCACCTGACTGCTCCGAAGTGGCATTGTTGCGATGTTTGGGGTTTGTCCGAACTGGAACCGTTCTGCGTATTTGAAGTTTGTTCGAAGTGGAATTGCTGTGGATATTTGAGGTTTGTTTTACCTGGCGGTTGTGAAGCAAGAATTACAGTGAATATTTGACGTCTGTTGCATCAGGCTGGGTGTGAAGCTGGTGTTCAAGGTCAGCTTTGACAAGGCAAACCGAACCTCGGGCAAGTCATTTCGGGGACCAGGGTTGGAAGATGGCTTAAAGGTGAGCCATAAACTTCAGCTCTCTTTCTTTGCACTTCTCCTCAAATCACAAAATCATGCGTCTTAAATAGCCATCACCAATCCATGCTGTCTTCAACCGATTGCACTTTTCCACGGAGAACAATATAATCTGTTCTGATTTGCCATCATCACATATGTTATCCTCCACCGGTCGGCCAAGATAATCTTCCCACACGCAGTGCTAGGGATGAACCCTATGAAATAAAGGCCAGGTCTGCTGGGAGTTATCGTGCAACCCTGGAGACAGACCGGTGTAAGCTGCTTTTTGTTTTCTTTCTCTTAGAAAGAAAAAGAAAGAGATAGAACCCAGAGCTCAAGGATGTAGGGCCTGTGCTGAAGGTTTCAGAAGACAGTCTGCGAGACGGACACGACTTATTTCATGCATGGATGACGAGCTCATTCTGGGGACCATAGCCTGTCGTGAAAGGAGATCACTGGATTCAGCCGGTGCTTGGAAGATCTTGGACCGTGTCTCTGAGATGCAGTGGAACGGGTAGTTCGTGAACGTGAGGTGTAGGTGGGATACCAGACCAGACGTGGCAAGGCACGAAGCAACGCCTTCTCTGTATCTACGTTGATTACTGACGTACTTACCTGCACATGTAGAGAAGCTAAGTCTAATATCGATGTAACACACCTGAAGCGCACTGCGAACTCAATTCAGTCCAATCAGCAGGTAGCAAACCTCTTCCTCCTCCTCCCGTACTCACACTTCCCTTCCCTTGATTCCAGACTGACCCTTGTGTTCACTGAGATACTCTGCGTTAAGTTAGCTTCCTGGAGTGTGTTCTTGGTTGACCCCCCTGAGACATTGACCTTCCATTTGAATTTGATTGTGCCCCCTCCCAAGTTGCCAATCTTCTCTGCACCTAGCTTGTTCTTGACAAATTTGTTCCTGATGTCATGTTGCCTGTCAGGATTGTTTTTAATCTCGTTCATTTCGTTGTGCTAATCCGTTAACTATTCGGTTCTTAGCATTCGCAAGAGCCCCTCGCAGGCCTCTTCTGCCGGCACCTGCTGGTTCTCTAGTCTTCTGCTGAAGTGTAACTGGTAGTTCAAGTTCAATCCCTTTTATTTGCTTTTAGGATTGATGATGATGGATGAGTAACAAAGTCTTCCATCAGAATTCAATTTGTTCCCCCCCCCAAGGCTACAAATCTGTATGCCGACTTCCCTTATCTACATTCTTCCTTTGACCATAGGCTGCATATGCAAGAGCCTCTCCCAGGCCTCTTCCGCCGGCACCTGCTGGTTTTCTATTCTTCCGCTGAAGTATGGCTGGCAGTTCAAGTTCATTCCCTTTTTTATTTGCTTTTGGAAGTTTTGGGCTTAACGATGGATGAGTAACGAAGTCTTCCATCGGAATTCAACTTCCCCCCCCCCCCCCAGGTTACTAATCCGCATTGCCGACTTCCCTTACTTACATTCTTCCTTTGCCCAGAGGCTGGTTCAACTTCAGTTTCCATTCAGGATGGGTGCAGGATCGATATATATTTTCTCTACGGTTTGGTCCATATGCTTGATTGCTTGTTGGATAACGGGGCTTTCTGGACTTGTTCATTCTGCTGACCATGTTATTTTCTGTATTACGCATCCCCAACAATGTCCCTCTATAAAGCAGACTGGTAACCAACTACGTTGCTTGCGAAAAAGGAGGAATGTCTGCATGCTTTGATGAGCAGGGTAATGTAGGCCAGTTGTTCCAAAGAGCAGCAGAGTGCTCAATAAACCGGGGTAAGTTAAGTGATCGTGTGTGTGACTGGCCATGTAAATTCAAAGCCATAGCGTAGTTCGCCACATAAATATTAAATAGTGCATACTGCAAGGAAAATGAGCAATAGCGAGATGACAGATTCCAGATTACACAATCACATTGAAAGCTACAAAGTCTCACAGTGCCCAGAAAGCAGCATTGCACCAATCTTACACCAATGGAGAATCGAAACACTGAAACCGAATGTCAACGAGAGCTTACTCTCATCATCACCAACATAAGAGTCCAGGCCCTTCCCCCTACTTGGCGCTCGGCGCCCAGACTACTCCCCAC